TAGTAAAATTTACTATTTTTTCCCTACTGAAGTAAAAAGTTCAGAACTTCTGGAAAAAAAGAAAATCGTCATTTATCAGCTTGAAACATGGATTTTCCATTGTCAAGACTTCCCAAATATCTCCGAATAACCATTGAACAACCAGTTGAATTGCCCAAGCCTAAAAAATTTCTTATAAATCAACCCACAACATGCTGAAAATTTATTGTGAGGTGCGCTGGCTTTCTAGGGGACAGGTGCTGAATAGATTTTGGAAGCTAAAAAATACTTCTTGAAGAGAAAAACGAGCTACCTGAGGAAAGAGCACTTTTATGTGATAAAAACTGGCTATTTGATTTGGCATTTTTAGTTAATGCTACTAGCCATCTCAATGATCTAAATTTGAGACTGCAAGGCAAAAGCAAAATATTTCCAAGCTTAGTAAATGACATTATCGCATTCAAGATGAAGTTGAAACTTTTCGTTTCCCAGTTGGAAAAAGAGGATTTGCCCAAATTCCTCACATAAAAGAACACCGTGAATGTGCTGCTGGTAATGGCAATTTGGCAATATACACAGAAAAAATCAAGTTATTGCAAGATTCATTTGAAAGTCGTTTTCATGATATTTCAAAAAAAGAAGACTCTATACTTGCTTTTATAAACCCATTTGCACTTAGTGAACTAACCATAATGAAGATGCCAAGCAATATACAATTGGAACTAATTGACTTGAAAACTCATCCATCATTGAAAATTAAATTTGATGAGCTTTCTTCAGTCACAAGTGCATCTGACATGATCAAGTTCTGGCAATCGTTACCCCGTGAAAATTTTCCAGAACTGAGAAAATTTGCCCAGGGTTTTATATGTCGTTTCGGAACGACATATAGATGTGAACAAACATTTTCTGCCATGAAACTAATTGAAAGCAAAGCGAGGTCAAGACTTGCATGTTTAAATTTGAAGAATGCACTGCTCCTCTCAGTAACAAACTTAACTCCAAGAATAAAAAAAACTGGCGAAAGTAAAACAGCAGCAAAAGTCTCATAAAGGCGGTACTTAAATAAAATTGATCAGTTTTATTTATTATACTTCCTTGCTTAATTTCTATTCATGTGAAGTTGTAAATTGTAAAAACTACATATACGTGTGTATATATGTGTGTGTATTATAAATATATATAATTTCAACAAGAAGCGGACAATAGGCGTGGGAATACAAGAGATTTACGGCGCATCTGAAACATTATGTTTAAAACGTGGCGCATGGTATGTGAAAGGTTGGCCACCCCTGAAGTAGACTAAGCCCTGAATAAACGACTACCTCAATTGGCTGGGCGTCCAATTTAAATAGATATCATAAATATACCACTATTAATAAATAGTTATAATATAAAAATACCAATTAACTAAAATCACCCAATTTTTTGAGTGCTTGGTTCTATTCGTAAACTAAAATAGTAGTCTAGCTCAGAAGAGCTATCCTTTTCTGTTATATAATAGTATTATAATTTTGACGCATTCACCAAATAGGATCGTCATACCTGGTCTAGTTATTTACCTTCCGAACATCTACATCCGTTATATTTCCTTTGCATTCCAAGACTCGAAACATGTAAAGTCGACGATTGTTTTCCGAATACCATAAGTCACCTTCCTTCCAAATAGAGATGGGCTCGAACGGACAAACAGAAGTCTCTCCCTTTAAGATTTCATCGATAACGCCATGGATACTATTGCCATTAGAAAAATTTGGAGAAATACTGTCCTGGCTGAAACGAATATCCGAAGGCTTCATTTTATAACGCTATAAAATACCGAGTGAGTGTTTTTAAAGAAATATAGCTAACCCGACTATTAATAATTGGACGTGGAATACCCTTGCTTTATATTGAGATTGACAACCAACCCATTGTTCCGACTGAACTGAAAAAGTGTCACAACACTTAAACAAGAGTATGGCCCATTGTTCTGACTTAATTAAAAAGTAAATCTGCAACGAGCGCTCGTGTGCGAGTTTGTTAAATTTGTTCATACTGCATAACCATTCCGGGATAAACATTTTAATACAAGAAACCCAAAGCCTTTGAGTTGAAATGAGTGGAAAGTTTATTTTGATTTCAGACATCTACGTCGAAGTACGCATTCTACCTTGCTTTTAGCAACTCTGTTTTCTGTTTCAGTAATGTTTATTAGGGATTTTTTTACGTGCGTGCCCTCAAGACTTGGGTGAACGTTTTTAATCACTTTGTTTGTTATTGACCACTGTTACTGTTGTTAGTTTTTGGATGATTTTCAAGTTGACTTACTAATTCTGAATGTGGGCTTGTGTTTCTCCAATAATATAAAAAAAATGTCAAGCTAAATTGTAATTCGAAACCGGTCGAAAGATATTCACCCCCAATTCACCACCCATTTCCGTACATCGTGGTAATAATAATCTTCCCCGCCAAGTCTTATGCGTGAACACCTTATCCGTCCAATCTGCAGCAATGAAACCGACTTCTGAAGCTTTCTCTAACTATTTTCATAACGATTTATGCCTATGCTGCCCAGACAATTTTTTTTAATTTAATCACCTAATTTCAATTTATCTATGGGCATTATGCTTTAAATCTACAGTTTGCACATAAGCAGAAAACTACTACTCCCGCTAAGACCACAATACCTTTGGAATACACATAGCAAATAACAATAGCGTCAAATGCAAAAATAATAACGCGTCAACCAGGCACACAACGAAATCGATCCATCGGTCGGAAATTGAATGAACTCTCATCATGGGGGAATACCCTGGCTTTATATTGACAACCTATTGTTCTGACAAAGCTAAATAAAATAAAATCTTTTCTCTGACAAAGGGTTCGTCAATAATTTTCTCGTGAAGGAAAAATCCCTCGGCATCATAGCACCGTACCTTTACTTTACACCGAGTTCACTAACCCAATGTTCCGACTGGGATGCATAAAAATCGAATCGATCTCTCATCGCCAAAATTCGTCCGAATTTTCAACTCCTTATCTCTAACAAAGAGAAATTCATTAGTGTTCACACTGATTTTGACGACCCACTATTCTGACTGACAAATAATATGTCTATCTCGTAACGGACTGGACATGCGCTACAAAACCCGAAATCCTTGTCTTGCGTTGTAGTTAACATCTCTGCCTCAACTATACATATACGGTTCCTCCGGGACCAAACCACAAAAAAAAACAATTTACCGTTGTTAAAAACAGGAATTGTGACGGTGGGTGAAACACCATTATGTATAATGAATTAAGTAGGCTTTATTTCGCACGAAAAGCATTTTGAATATATAGAATACATAATTTACGTTGGACATTCCATAGTTTGCTTTTTATTGCTTAATCTATTAAAATATGTCAATCTTTTTGCTCAAAACGTTTCTACTCCTCGTTACCAGATATCGTGAATTTATATTTTGAGTTTGCTAGGACTTCTAGCTGAATTGATGTGAATTCAAACTATCCAGTTGCTTGACTGGAAAGATTTTTCTATTTATGTGAAGAATTAATATATGTGTCCTGTCGTTTCTTACTCTTCAAACACTCTCTTACATATCAAAATTACAGCAACATCTTCTTCCAACTCATAATGCTAAAATTTAAATTGTTGTTCCCGACCAAAGCAACGTCGGATTTAGTTGTTCCCAATACACGAATTTTTTATTCCAACCGGGCTAATACCGAGGTCAAGTCGTGCAGTTACAAAAAATAGCATATAAATTTGACATTTTTTTTTTACATTTTCAGGTTCTGTTTTGACCTGGTCTGATGATTTCGGTGTTGGCAATTTCTCGCTCAATGTAAAAAATAGATACTATTTTGTTAATCCATTGTATGGTTTTGTGATAATATTTTTTGTCGCATGGCTCAGGTTTATTGACACTTCCTTAAAACTCTCTTCCAGCTGTTGACCCAATTTATTTGACATGGTCTTTTTAAAGTTATTTTTTTTGTCAACCACTAAGCCCTAAAGCTTCTCTTATGGATTTTTAAAAGCGTGTGCTAGAGTTCTATTCAGCAATATATCTTTAAAACACACTCCGAAAAAAAAATTTTTTTGCAAAAATATCTCAAAAATTTCTAAAAATAAATTGGACTTTGAGAAATTCTGTGTACAGTAGAGGGTTAATAATTAATTCCTAATTAATTAATTTTTTTTTCAACGTTTTCGTCAAGTTTTTCTTAACGCAACATCACCGAAACGCCTATTATAGCATAAATGGTTATTACTCTGAAATTCACAATTGTATTTACAGGTGTATCAAGTTCAAGGCTAAAATTACTGATTTTGATGACGTCACAGCTCTTATTATTACTGCACAGACCACCCCCAACGCAAAAAAATTAAATTTTTTCGACGGAAATGCGCGTAGAACGGCGTAAACAATCCCATACGCGCATTTACGCGTTAAAATTACCATTAATTTTACGTTTTATTTAACTACAAAAAATCTCCATACTTCTGCCAACTATGGAGCAGTCGAAATCATATTTATCAAAACAACACAGCGCCAGGGTTGGTCAGGGATAGTATATATGACTGAAAATACATGCTAAACCAACAATAAGTCATTATAAAGGAGTATTTCCTGTCTGAGCTGAGTCGACATTTTCAGACGTCTGACAGGCGATTTTGAAATCCACGCTATTTATAGCATTTGCACTTTGCGTCACGGCTGGAAGGTTCTATCGCTTCTCTCATATCAGGCGATAACGTCAACAAAGAGCTAAGAGCGATATTAACAGTAGTTTATCGAGCACAAAATTAAGCGTAAATATTCTCTCATATGAGCTTAGCCGCTGGAAAAGGGTTAAATATTGCCTTTCCACGCTGTCGAGAATGTTTCGTTGTTTGAAGCGAAAATGTAGGCAATATAGTAGAAGTAACATTGTTCCAGTCCTGATTGGCTGTATGAAAAAAACATTTCAAAGAAACTGAGAGATTATGAAACCGTCAAACGGTTCAATAAGTGTACTTTTGTACAACAAAAAAGCAACATGCCGGCCACTAAAGGTAGCAAGAAAATGTCAAGCAAGACGTTTGCTGCGTAGTGGTCTGTAGCTGCTGTGTGTACAATGGCTGGAGAGGGATTGCGATATGCCGATGTTGCGGCACAAAACGTCCCACAGGATATATCATGGATTGATAGGTCTTGTGACCTCAGCTTTAAAATGAAAAGGCAAATCAAGAGGGATGAGTTTTGGAAGTTTTTAGAGGACCTGGGAATAAAGATAGAGGAAGTAGATGGCATAGTTCAGTACCCAAATGGGACAACTGAGGTAAGTTTTACGAACAGGCTTAAAGCGCTCCAAATGGACCGCATGCTGTGGAAACTGAAGCAAGAGGGCAAGCGCCTACCGGCTCATAGGCTCATTGTACCAGACAAATTACCACTGTACGTGAATTGGGTGCCAACTAAAATGAATGATAACTTAATAATGAACTACATAACAGAAAACCATGGAAAACCAGACTCGATTGCACAACTAAAAGACAATAAAGGAGTTAAAAACGGATCAAGGCGAATAATCATTAATAGGGAACATTTGGTTTCTAATCCGATTAAAAGTTATATAAACATAAGAGGGTTTAAATTATTTGTGAAACATCCTGGTCAATTGGAAACATGCAGTTATTGCAACGAGCCGGGGCACATGAGGTTTCAATGCCCTGAAAAACAAAAACGAAATCCAGAAATAATCTTGCGAAAACAAATTGAAAACCAAAAATTAGATCCAAAACAAACAAGCAACACGGAAAATCCGTTACCAGAAAAAGAATTATCTAGCCAAACCAGTTGGGCGGAAAGCGTAGAAATAGAGGAAATAAGCAACAAGGGATTATCATTGGAGTCGGAGAGAACAAGAGTGACACTGGAGAATACAATGAAAAGTAACGGGAATGAAATTTGCCATGCGGATAATATAATAACAGGCAAAGAGGCAATTCACGACAAAATAGAATCTGGAAACCCCACGGGAGAAATTGATAGACCAGAACGGGCGACGCCCGATGAAACAATATCACGTCATCACGACGACAACAAAAAGCATGACCATATAAGGAAATCGTCGTGTGAAGACGAAGAGACCTCGTGTGCATCAGACAGGAACGATCAAAACAAGGTGGGGTCCAGGTCGACGGAGTTATGCGACAGTACTACGGATCATGAAGTCTTTTCTGACAGCTTGAACCTTACAGAAGAAGAAGGAAGGAACATCAAAAGAAAATGGGAAAGCTACAGTAGCGGTGAGTACCAATTTCGTAAAGCTATAAGTTTATCATCCCCGGAGGCCACGACTAGGTGCCCAAATTGTAAAAAACACTTGGGATTAATAAGCGACCAAAAACAGGCCTGTTGCTTCAACTGTAAGCATGAATTCGAAGTCTTCCGCACATGTTGCAGAGATGATAGGATCATGATAGCCCCAAAAAGCTCGATCGATTTTCACCAGCCAACTGTTTGCCTAAATTGCGAAGAAATAGCAATTCCAGTGGATTGCTGTCATACGCTCATACCGTTAAACAGATACCAAAATAAGGGAAAGTGCCCAAGATGCCGAGAGGAATATAAAATTTCATAGTAATGGACAGAATAAAGGCAATAACACTGAATGTGAACGGCTTAAGAGGACATATCAAGAGGTCTGCCCTTTTTGAATATTTTAAGTCACAACAATATGACATAATGTTTTTACAAGAAACACATAGCCAAGTTAAGGACGAAACGAAGTGGTCTGAAGAATTGGAATGGGGTCACGCTATTTGGAATTCTTACAATAGTCAATCGGCAGGGGTGGGAATCATAATAAATACGTCCAAAAACAATGTAAAATTCCTAGGGACAAAGTATGACAATAAAGGCAGAATCCTAGCGGTTAATTTGGAAATTATGGAAACTAGATTTACCCTGGTTAATATATATGCCTATACCTCCTCCCCGAGAGTTAAGAATAGCCAAAGAGTCAATTTTTTTGTTGAAATGTGTAAATATTTGGTAACATCATACAACTTAATTTTAGCAGGAGATTTCAACATAACCATAGATCCGAATAATGATAAGCGGCCTTCCAATTCCAAGCACCCTTTCCTGCAAAACACACTCAAGAAGATAGTCCAAAATTTTCATTTAGAGGACACCTTTCGAGCCACCAATCCAAAAGTCAAAGAATTCACCTTTCACCACGCTCTTGGAGCGGCACGGCTGGACAGGATATATATCAGTAATTTAACAATAGTAGATAAAGCCTACCACCTTTCAATTTCGTGGGCAGACCACGACGCAGCTGTATTGGAAATAAATTTAAAGAGTATAGAAAAAAGAGGCCCAGGTATGTGGAGAAATAACACAGGTCATTATAATGATAAAATATTTTTGCAGGAATTTGAAGACCACTGGAGAAAATGGATCACCTTAAAAGAATATATGAATTGCAATTGGATCGAATGGTGGATTAACATCAAGACAAGAATCAAAAAGCTCCTCATTAAATTTGGAGCAAGAGTCAGAAGGAGAAAGAAAGAAGAAAAAGAAAGGCTGGAAATACAACTAGATGAAACAAGGATAAGATTGAACAGAGGAGAAAAGGTACTGTCTCAAATAATACAAATAAAATCAAAGATAATTAAAGAACAATCAATCAATTTTGAAAGTATCAGAATGAAATCTAAAATAGACAATCTCACCCCCTCCTCAAAAAACCTACAATTCTTCTTTTCCAAAATCAAAAAGAGACATAAATTAACAGAAATCAAGTCCCTAAGAGACAGTAAAAGCATTGTTCAATCAAAAATTAAGGAAAAATTGGATATAGTAGAACGTTTTTATAGCTCTCTATATAAGAGAAAGGATACATGCCCAAAAACTCAGGAATTCTTTATATCATATATCAAACGAGTCTTGACAGAACAACAGAAAGACCAATTGAAAGAAGACCTCTCCATACCAGAAATAAAAAAGGTGATATCGGAAATAAAACCCAACAAGTCTCCTGGACCCGATGGTATAAGTATTGAATTCTATAAATCTTGTTATCATATCATTGAAAAGCAGCTACAAATGATTCTAAACGAAATGTATTCAACACCTGACCAGACAGAAACTGCTAACGGAGTCATCCACCTCATTTTTAAAAGGGGCGATAATACTGATACTAACAATTATAGACCTATAACACTTCTAAATTATGACCTAAAAATTCTGAATAAAATCCTTTCTAACAGGACAAAGAACATTCTCCCGGATATAACGCACCCCCACCAATTTTCAAAACTTCCGAACAAAATCATCGACTTGAACCTTCTTCTGAGAGAAATAACTGCAGACACCAGAAACCAGAAACTAGGATCATTAATTTCCCTGGATTTCCAGAAGGCCTTCGATTCCATAGATCATGGTTTTATTCAAATTTATTAGCTATATTAAAGCCATCTACTCCGGACCAAAATCTAAAATACTAGTAAACGGACATCTTTCTAAAAACATTACACTCCGAAGAGGCGTAAGGCAAGGGGATCCCTTATCAAATGTACTCTTTACACTAACAACGGACTCACTATTACAGGCTATTAACGAAGACCGAAATATCCACGGAATTAGACTCCAAGGTATAAAAGAGGAAATCAAAACTCCAGCATTTGCGGATGACACCGCTATCACCACCCGAGACGAATTGTCCGCAAAACGAGCCATTGATATGGTAAAGCTCTATGGGAACGCATCTGGTATGGTTTTAAACTTATCCAAAAGCAAAGGTCTGTGTTTTGCACGTAACCAATATGACCTACAAATAAACTGGGTCAACTCAGTGCAGATCGTCGGAATCCGGTATGGGAATGTAGTGAATGGGAAAGCATGGAATGACAAAATTAATGAATGTAAGGAAATCTTACATAACATTGGACATAGATCGTATAACTTAGAGGAACGGAAAACAATAATTAAATCTATCATACTCCCCAAAATGCTGTATCTAGCTCAAACTGAACCACTCGGACCAAAACACAAATATCAAATTCGCAAAATAACCCAGAATTTCCTATTGCCAAACAGAGAAGACATCGATTTCAACATACTAACCCTGGCAAAAAGTGAAGGAGGCATCGACCTACCCAATATACCTTTGATTTTAGACCTTCAACTTGGTAAAATTATTTTACAGCATCTACAGAAACTCCATGGCGACATCGAACAAGACAAATCTATCTACTCCAGAATCGACCAGCAAATTGGACTATCATTGAGGAACTACATCGGCGACAAATTCAATAATTCAAAACCGCACACTATAACCCCGCTTATGCATTGGAAAAAAACCCTCGACATAATAAAGAAATATGAGATCGATATAAATGAAATCCGCACAACTCCTATACGAGCAATTTACGATCGTATTATCCATGACCAGAAGCCGAAATACGCCGGGAAACTAATGACGACGAAATGGGAAAACGTGACAAACAAACTACTAAGTCAACAAGAGATGATCCTTAATTGGAAATGCGCGCACTCCATTTTGCCTACTCGAGCAAAATATCGAGTCAGGATGGCTTCCGGGACAGACCTCTGCCCATGGTGCCACAATAGAACTGAAACCGAAAGACACCTGTTCAATGAATGCAAAGAACCAGCCAAACTAATGGCAACTGCGATCTGGATCTGGGCAGAATCAAACGAGACGACTCCACCACCAGTCACCACCAAAATAACAATAGAATACAATTTTGGAGATCTTATTGAAAATAAGAAACGAAACAACCTGTGTATTCTTCTATCGAAAATGAAACAATGCATTTGGAATGAAAGAAACCTGATAACCTTTAACAAAACGATACCAAACTCGAGGAGAGTGTTCAACAAGTTTAAGAAAGAAATAATATGGCGCCACAAAATAGAAAAAGCTAAAGAAAAGAGTTTCGACATCAATCTACAAGAAGAAATAAAGACCATCGAACTGCTGAACGAGAGAGTTCTGAGAGATCTCGGCATCACTTGAGCACAAGGACATCAACGAAGGCGACAGCCATTGTCCTTGACAACAGCCAAGATACAATATTATATAGAAACTGAACTGCATCAACAGTTTTGAAAACACCACAGCTGAAACGCCTCTCTAAATCGAAATGACCTGTGAGTCAAATGCCTTAACAATCAATAGAGATAAAGATTTTTCATCACCCGACGATTGTGGAAAAACTCAATGAGCGTCTCTAACAGTAAATTCGCAATGGGGTAATATTATCGTGTTGCAGATATGCACGAGCGTGTATGTGTGTGCATACAGATACCCTGATTTGCAGACTGTTATATGGCACCCCTACTCAAGGACATCCGACACCGACAAGCCCAACCCAGATTCAGTAACACGTATACTCGAACATCCATTCTGGGTCAGTGTTTTGTATTGCATAACACTTCTACGTTAGCCTTTATAATATTTGCATTTTTACCCTTTTATCATCTTTGTTTTAGTGCGTGATTAACATATATATGTATGTTATCCCCCCCCCCCCCCCGTGCCTCAGATATGTAGATTCCAAAACTAAAACTACCAAGAGAACTTCATCCTAAATTGCAGACGAACCAAACTACTGAAATTACGTGATTCACCACAAACGGTAGAATACTATAACTAGCTGGTATATAAGTCAAAAAGGAACAGATCACTTTCGAGTAGCTCATGAGAATAATTCGGCTCATATACACAATAGAAAAAGTTAGGAAATGTAATAAACAATCTATACTCAAACATAACCTCTGATATGAGGAGTGAATGAATAATAACCGTGTACGCCCTCTATACAATAAATATTTATCTGTCCCTAGCCTAAAATTATCCCATGAATCCTCATACAGTAAATACTTACCTGACCCTGGTCTAAAATTATCCCATGCATACAATAGCCAGGCGTGTATACTCAAACATAACCTCTGATATGAGGAGTGAATAAATAATACCCGTGTACGACCTCATACAGTAAATACTTACCTGTTCATAGTCTAATCCTCATACAGTAAATACTTTCCTGACCCTGGTCTAAAATTATCCCAGGCATGAAATAGCCAGGTGTGAACCCATATAGTAAAAATACTTAACTTACCCCATAAAGTAAGTAGATGTCCGAACAGCATATAACTTACCTGACCCTGGTTTCAAATTATCCCGTGCATATATAATACTTTCGTTAACCTTACCTGTGCAGTGATACTATTTAGTGTATATACTCATGCTAGTGCTTATTTTTTACTTGTGTGCGTTGTGCTCTTCATATTTTCTGCATATGTTTAGAAACGTGAGTGCAGGGAAGGGTAGGGTAGCAGCCTATAAGCCGTGAACCCAGAGATGTAATGCCCTGGAGCTGAAGGATAGTGGCGCTATAGATGTAATATATGTAGCTCAATAGTTGTAGGGCAATTGGGGTTAAGTTGAAATTGATACTCAATTAAGCCAACTTCAGGGAATCCGCCTTGATCCCAAACGCATATGCCGGAATCGATAGACTTTGAAAATTACCACAAGCGTTAGAATGCAACAATTCCGCTAGTATATAAGCGGAAAACCTATAAACAATTATCGAGAAGACCCAAGTTAATTCATGGACGAGACGTTTACCTCTCTTTCAGACCGTGATCCTTCAAGCCTCACTCCTGTAAAACACCGTCTTTAAAGCCCCCTAGTCGTATTTCAAAACTGTGAAAGACTCTAAATACGAACGGCGACCGTGTATATAAGGAAATCCTACCCCTGATATAAATTTGCCAATGTACTTGTAGGGAGACTTGCACCCTGTATGACAAAACCGTAAGCCGACTATACCCACCGACGCCCAACGTGCAAATACAAAACCCCGTATGTGCCAAACTCTAATGTAGAGTGAATTGTACATAAACCTGTTTTAAAATGCTTATATATATTTTTTTTCTTTGTGTACGTACATTTTTTTTCTGGTCAAATAAATTAAATATTAAGTGTACTTTTGTACAGTGCCTATTTGATATCGGAGATGTACTTACTAATAGACATAATAGACACCGAATTAACTGAATTGGTGGCCAGAGCATTTACAGCCAAGGTACATATATTTATATGGAAATTGGTAAGATAATACGTTAGATAAAATAACTATAAAAAGGGGAGCACGTCACACGTTTGCGTTTTTATCCCGGCAGCATAGCAGTGTACATTTTTTACCATTACGAGACGAATGTGATGGTACTTACACTGATCACAAGGAGAGTTCTTTCTCTCTCTACTTGACATTTTTGTAAAAGATTCAATCTGAAGCCCTGTAGGAAAGAGAAAATTATCCACAGTAAGGATTTCCTTTTTCGCTTTAGGGATACTTTAAAACTTGGGGCTTCCTTTAAGTCAAATTGTTGTGTCGGATTCGGATTTTCCAATATACGAAAGTTGAAATTTTGACATGTGAAAGTTGAAAACTGGAATCATGGAGTATCAAATAAATTGTGACCTAAAAGTCTAAAATAAATTTTCCACTGAACATACGCAAATACATTACAGTTAAATCGAAGTCATCAGATGAAGTCCAAGTTTTCGGATTACTCATTCACATTAAACGAGTATTTTAATAATTTCCATAATAGGATTTACGGAAGCAAATGTATAAAACAATGATCTAGGACCTAGGTCAACGGTTCTCAAACTTTTTGAGACAGGCCTCCTTTTTAGAATTTGTCCTAGTATGTTCTCGATCTATATTCTGCGATACCGGTATAGATAGAATTTAATAATCGAGTCTTCAGAAATATAGCATATATATAGTTGAATAAATTGAATGGATTTCCCAACTTCGGCTCGCGGTCAAAAAAGTTTGGTGACCCCTGATCTAGGTCAACGGTTCTCAAACTTTTTGAGACGCGCCTCCTTTTTAGAATTTGTCAAGTCTTGCGCCACGGCTCAAAAATAACTAGCTAACAATAAGCTGCGAATAACGAAAGTAATATAGCATATAATGAAATTAACAACAAGCACAATAGTTCTCTGCAATCTTTAAACAATAAGGAAATGTGAATATTCAAAATAAAGAGGGGGAGATTAAATCTAACAAATATTATTTTTCATCAGCTTCTCAAAAATTGTCTACACCCCCTCCCCCATGTCATGGGGTGCGCTTCCCACCGTTCGAGAACCACTGATCTGGGTAATTTGTTAATGACCGCGGCGGCCTACAATTTAGAACTCTGAGTCAGCAATGTTTGCTTCTAATACTTCAAAACAGCGCTCCCAATTTTTTTTTTTCGCGACATCATTTTTCATAAAATCAAAGCCTACAGAACCCGCGAGTCGCGACCCCGCGACAAGAAACATTCAGCAACTTCAAAAATCAGTATATCAGTTTAATTACTTCAACGGGAACAATGTACTTGTATATCGACTGCAAATGGACGTTGACGGTGAACATTGATCAAAAATATATGGACGAGTCTGGCAATGCGACGGAAAAACGAGGAAATCTCAGAAGATCCGATAACACGTGACAGAAATTAGGCTACCCCGGAAAATCTTCACGCGACTTCATCCTGGGTCGCGACCCACAGTTTGGGAACCCCTGCTTGAAAATATCGAGTAGAACTCTCTGCGCCCATTACCTTACTAATAATTAATATTGAAAATCCGGAATTAAGTTTAGTAGGTAAAGTTAGTATAGCTCGGTTTTGAATCCGAAAATAAAAATATTCCAAATGCTTCTAGTTTATCAGTTCCACGAGGCAAATCTCGGACGGTAGGAAAGATATTTTTCAAGATTGGACTATTCTAGTATACCTGCCAATCTCTCTCTTCTAATAAATATTGACGGTAGCTCCCAGTGACTACTATACGACCATAAACGGCTCAAACACAAAACAATCTCTATTTCTTTCGAAAAAGAGGAAATTCGAAATATAACATTCGATACGAGAGAACTCGGATTCCAGCGCAATACTCTCATAACAAAGAAATCGGTCTGGTATGGGCAAATATTACATCAAACGCCCGTAATTGTCCTTGCATGAACTGACATAATCGCAAACGTTTACTAATTAATAAGCTGCATCTTGAAAGCACACATAGTTAGTCTATACCCAATATCATTGAGTATTGTCCTTTCCACAACGACCTTCTATACCAGGAAGTTATTTATCATAAGTGGCTTATTCATATCAGGAAATGATATCACTATATGAGTAGGAAGGTAACAGATCTATAGTTACCGCGTTTGACTTTGTATATAATTGATCAATTTGTTGGCGCTCCAGAAGTTTGTGTACCAATATGGAGGTAACTAATTTTGTTCGCCCTCATATCAAGTTGTGTACTGTAAAGGGACTGAAACCTATGAGCAGGGAGTATATGCACTTGGCTAACACAGACAGTTCCCTAACTTGTAATAGAACCAAAGTAAAGAAAATTGAAATATTATTAAAGCATAATCCTAACCTGGTACACATACTACGGGAGTGCCCATTATCATAGCTCATATAGAATAAAAAAAAATTGGATAGCGTTGTATACGAACAAAATTTAATATAATGGGCTCACAATCGGTTAATATTAGGCTGATTGTTAGTTGTTCCGCTAAGCGTTCGTCATACTCATTTTAGAGTTGCAGATAAAAAAAAATGATTGAAACTTCATGAGCACCACGTCGTTATCCATAATGTAAATAATTGAGTAATCTGTATCAAATCTCGTCACCTAGTTCTCAACATATAAACGACTTTCAAAAAGTCTTGGCGAAAGCACTCTAAATATAACTGTCATCATAGCCCGAGACTTTTTACCTGCTTTGTGCTTGAATATTGGTATTTTAAATAACTTTGCAAGATTTGAAGTCAGTATTTAATCAATGGTTACGAGAAATTTTCCAGTCGCTATCTTCTACTATCTCGCCACAACATTTAAAATTCTACGAATACTTTTCTGCTTAGGAATGCGCTCGCCATCGCACCGCACATTTTATCAATACTTTTCGGCTTTTACTTGGAATATCGACACTTTTCTACAGCCAAATTATCATACCTATTGTTGTCTTGAATCACAAAATTGTCGCAACTCGTTTATTGTTATAAACATACACACTATGAATCATTATTATCTATTCAAATTGCCTGGATTGTATTTAACCGACCCGCCTACGTAGTACAACGATTGCGTGTGCGTCCCTGCTGTCTTCAGTCGCCATATTAAATATCTCAATGCTATCGGAAGGAGTTTTTATTACAAAATATATTTTGGATTAGATTTATCTAAAACTTAAACAAAACCATCGCCTCAAACATGACTTAAAATACCAGTCGTAACATAAAATTCTGCAAGTTTAAAAATCTCCTATTAGTCGGTCGAATAGGTTCTTTCAATTTTCATTATTCTTTGCAAAATTTTGTACTTTTTATAAATGCACTGATTAGACTTTATGTATCGGAATATTTATTTTTCGCTTTAAAAGTCATTCGATTTTGTGCCCAAATCAATGACAATGCCTCCTTTTTCGTGT